GGCGGCCGTGGCCCCAGTGTTGCTGATCGGGGGCTCGTTCTCCATGGTCACCATCCAGGATAGCCCGCAGGCCGGGCGCCGGGTGAGAATGGCCAAGCAGACCCTGCAGGAAAGGAGAGGGAAGGGTCGGGTCTTGAGTTCAAATCCCGCGCACCCGTGAGAGAAGCCAGCCTTCGAGACGGGCGGGCCAGCCCTCGCCAAATCCAGATGGGGGGAAGGTTCCTGCTGCCCCCTACCCACCCAACGCAGCATCTTGCGTGGCTGGGAACTCTGGGAGTTGTAATCCCACGCCATCCAGGCCATTTTTGTTCACTCAAACTCGGATCGTGCTTTTGCAGCAGAATAACCTGTACTTTTCCCAAGAGTTTGCAGAAGAGTTCCCACTTTTCACTACGCTCAAATCTCCCCCCCCCAGTAAAACAACTGGATGTCCCCCTTCATCTGGCCACAAGCTAATAGTTTTGGCCCTAACTGCAATGGCCCAGGGCAGGGGATGATGGGAGCTGCAGTCATCTCCTCCCAAAGATCAGCAAAACCTGACAGTCTATGGGGGTCTTGTAGCCCACTCTCCCCACCTTCATCTGGGGAGTCGCGTGCGACATTTTGTATGGGAAATGGTCCCCCAAGACCTTTTAAGATCTCCTTCGGCTGGTGGCAGGGAGTTCACAAGCCCAATTACAATTTTATTTCCCTTCTCTTCTCTCTCCCCCTGTGACTTTCCCCAGCCTGTCTAGCAGCCACCCCATAGATCCTGCGGGAAAGAAAGCCCTCCCTGATGCCCACGGCGTTCACAGGTTTGAATCCTTCCCCCCCAGGAGATGTTTTGCCCACAAAAATGAACTCAATCGGGGGAATCACAACCTGCAAATCTCCACAATGGAGTTGTCGCTTCCCAGAACGCCACAAGGAAAAATGAGGGGGCCGTATTACTGTTTTTATTTGTTTATATCTAAGCGCAGTGCAAGACCTATCTTTCCCCACTACAATGACCCTGCGAGGTAGGGAGGAACCGGCCCAACGCCACCTGTGCCAAAGGGAGGATTACAACCCGGGTCTCCCCACTCCTAGCCCACCCTAACAACATTGCCTAGAAGCTCTCCCCCCCGGACCTTCAAAGCCCTCTTCAGTTGCCTAAAACATCTGCTTTCCCAACACTGAGGTCTAGAAACTCGCCCTGCCCAATTAGATAAACGAACCCCATTTAATTTTCTGTAAAGCAAAAAACAACTCCACCACATATCCAGGAAAGTCCAGAGTTTACACCCTTGTAACCTAGATCCCCCCCCAGCATATAAAGAAAACACTGCAGAAGAGCAGGTGGTGGTCTCAAGCAGGCGGTGGTCTCACACCCCCAACCCACCGGCACCTGTTTGCCCCTTACCTTCACGACCCTGGCATTTGCAGGGATCTCGGCATTTGCAGGGTACGAGTCGGAGGGCGGGTTCAAGGTCCCTGTTCATCCCCCCTGGCGGTGCCCCTCAATCCTGCACCCCCCCAAGGGGACTCCAGAGCACCCTGTTCCCCACATCGGATCCCTGCTGTGCGGCTGAAGGGGGAGGTTCCAGCAGCCTCCCAAGGCCGGGGCTGCGAGACCCCCAAGGGATGCTCCGAGGTGGGGCCGGAGAGGCGCTGCACGGCCACCTTTTTTGGGGGGGGTCTGTCTCACGGGCTCATCCCACCACTCCGCCTTTGTTCCTCTCTGTCCTTTCTCAGCCCAACCATCGGCAAGATACGCTCGCGGGCTAGGAAGAAAGATGGGGAAGGGG